AAAAAAAAAAAAAAAAAAGTGGTACATATAACAATGGAATATTATGCAGCCATAAAGAAGAACAAAATCATGAACTTCGCAGCAGAGTCTATGATATTGAGTGATCTCTCACAGAAACAACGAACTGAGTATCACATGTTCTCATTCATAAAGTGGACCTTGAACAACTATCGTTATACTATAAGAAAAGGACTGACAGCGGGAAACTGCGGGGTGGGGGGGGGCGGGGAGATGGTATTGGCAGTAGTGGGAATCTGCCTGGGGAAGGGGGGCACACCTCATCAACAAGGAATATTTGTATACCTACCCCTGAATTGTACCCCACAATTTTAAAATTAAAAAATTTAAAGATAAGTCTAAAAAAAGAAAGAAGGAAAGAAAGAAAACTCTCGGCCCCTCCCCAGAACTACAAACTCAGGAACTCCGGAGGTGAGGCCTGGCGATCTGTGTGATGGGATGCACGCTCAACTTTGCGAAGAGCTAAATCCACCTTTCCTGGGAGGTAGAAGGCGACGAGCACGATGCTAAGCACTCCAGAGTTGCTTCTTTTCGCAGCACTTTACAGGCCCAATTAATTGCAGGCTCAGAGCCGCTGGCTGCGTAATCACCCGCCGCTGGTTCCCCCGGCAGCTGGCGACCAGCGAATTAGCGGCTTCCGCGGTCTTGCTGCGTCGGTGTGCATCAGCCAGCTTGGAGTGCGGGAAGCGCTAGCGGGCGGTGAGGACGCAGCCCACTCTGCAGGGGTTTAAGAAGTGGCGTCCCTAAAGCGCATCCCCAGGCCCAGAAATACGAGAGTCCCCAATCCCCGCTGCATCCAGGTTCTGGAAGAAGTGTCCCGTGTCCCCTGAACCAAAGTCCGACTACAACTGAGACGGCTCTTAGTGAATCAAGTGCGCAAGGCAGGGCCCGCGGAGAGGCCCACGCGGAGTGAGTGCAGGGGGCACGGGACCCACGGACAGAAGCGGGAGAGCAGCCAGGCGGCTCCCTCCAGGCCTGCGCTCTCTTCCGCGTCCACTGATGGAGACACGAACCCGGACTCGTGGCCATGAAAACCGCCACTGCCACGTACCTACCTGATGGCTCTGCTGGGAGAGGTCTCCAGTCCACTTGACTGCTCCCGCGGGTGCGCACGTCTAGGCCTCCGCCCGAGGGCAAGCCCACAAACCCACAACGAGGGGGGAATCGATAAAGTAAGGCGGGGCACGTAAAAGCAGCGTCCAGTCTTGCGGGTTTGGCACCCCTCCGTGTTTGGATTCGCCCATCCCGTCTCCAGGGCAGCACGCAGAACGCCGGAAAGAGCGCAGGCCGCTGACTGGCTGGGCAGTTTTCGTTCCTATTGGCTAGGACCCGGAAATGAGTGGCCGCGAGGGGCCCCTGTCTTAGCACAAAGTCTTCTCACCCTGTCTTAGGTCCAGCCCACCGGCACGAGATAGGGGCGCAAAGTCCTGGAGTCAGAGAAGAAGTGTGGGGTCTTGCAGGCTCGGCCTCTGGGTTTGAGTTCGCTCCTTCCGTCTCCATGGCAGCACGCAGAACGCCGGAAGGAACGCAGGACGCTGATTGGCTGAGAGTTTCGATTTCTATTGGCTGGGCCTAGAAGTGGGAGGTCGTGACGGGCACTTCTTCCATCCTTAGAGGGCGCTGGGTCCGGGATGTTGCACCGTGGAAGAGACAGGGCTGTGCAAAGTTGGGGCCCGTGAAGTCCTGGACCCTCATCGTCTCTTGTCTTCCCTTCCTAGTGTTCGCTCCTGTTTTTTTCCATTCTTCCCTTCTGGCGGTCTCCTGAAGCTCAGGTGGACGTGGTTCATAGTCTGGCC